GCTAGGCTCTGCTTTTAAATTTGAGCCCACTTAGCAACCAGGAGCCCTTTTCTGTAGATATATTCTTTCCCAGTTTCCACAATAGATAGGAAAACAAGGCCACAATTAAGTTATTTTCTGAAAAGCTGACAATTAATAGCAGTCTTTCTTGTAACTAGGATCTCTTTTGCCATTTGATCATGAGTACTATAATTGACCAACAGGAATTAATAAAATATTTTCTTAGCTATCTTGGAATGTTAGTAAATCTCCACAATATGTTACATGCTGCATAGGTTACAAATCTGACATATGTTAAATGGATAAGTGACATAATATGTCAAATGTATAAGGGCCTGTATGTCTTATGTATAATGTGTTGTATATTTTAATTTGGATGCTTAGATGTAGTAAGATATTCACATTAGGCTATTCTCTTCATCACCTTCATTTTACTCCCTTCCCCACCCTGCCAAGTGACCATGATTATCATAACCAATCATAAAGATGCTATATTGTCTGCTTTGACGCCTTCTTGGTGCACTGCTAAGAGCTACTCCAACACTGCTGTGGTTTTATCACAGCAATTGATAGATTTATAAATTTTAAAAGTAAATGTAATTTGTAAAGACAGAAAATTGTATTTGACTATATGGTATATAGTTATGTTTGTCCACCAAACCAGAAGCTCTCCAAATCCCATTCTTTTGGGTTTTTATGGAGACTTCATTACATAGGGATGGTTGATTAAATCATTAGCTATTGCTGATTGAACTCAATCTCTAGTCCTTGTCACTTCCCTGTAAATAATGGATGGAGCTGAACGTTCCAACCCTCTAATCACTTGGTTGGTTCCCCTGGGAAGTAGTCCCCTTACCTCAAGGGTTTTCCAAAAGTCACCTCATTAACATAAACTCCCCTGTGGTTAAAGGAGCTTGTTATGAATAGCAAAAGACACTTTTATTACTCTCATCACTTAGGAAATTGCAAGGGTATTAGATCTGTGCCAGGAATGGGGAGGAAAACCAAACATTTTTCATTATAAATCACAGTATCACAGCAATATTTTCCCTAAGAGTTGAATATGTAAGCTGAGCACAGGGGACATTTCCTACTTGTCCCTTTCAGGAACTGTGTCCTTTTGGAAAAATGTCTTTCTTCTGGAACAGCCCCAAATCAACCCATTGACAGAGCTAGTTCAGAGTCTCCATTAGCCTCATATAACTTGAGATTTCAGGTACTAGAGCAGCTGTGTGGGGTATTAAAAGATAAACTAAGCATATTAAAATTTCTGAGTTTATTTGAACAAAAGTCTATTTGAATCACGCAGAGCCAAACAGAAGCGGTTAGGAGTGCTTCACCGACAGGAGCTAAGAGAAAGACTTTTATAGGGGAGCCATGGAAGCAAGCAAGGACATGGATAAACTCTCTTGCAGGGCTTGGGCCACATGACTGAAAAGGACCCATCTTTCTGAACTCCACCTCCCTGCTGTTGAAAGAAACAGCTTCTTCTCCTTCCCCCCTTTTCACCAGATTCACTACTTGGGAGAAGTTTGAAAAGGGATTGAATTCAGTCAGGTTAAGCTTTCTGCAGGGAAAGATGCTTATCTTTGCTGCTGCCCACACCTGTGCTAAGTGGGTCAGCTGCACTCTTCCCCAGGATCTGAGGGCAGGTTCTTTGTAACAAAGCCTCTAACCTTACTATGACTATAGTAGTTCCTCCTTATCTGATGGGATATGTTCCAAGACCCCCATGGATGCCTCAAACCACGTATCAAAGCAAACCTTGTATAGACTATGTTTTTTACTCTACATACTTATAAAGTTGCATTTATAAACTAGGCACAGTAAGAGATTAACAACAATAACTACTAATAAAATAGAACAATTATAACAATATACTGTAATAAAAGTTATGTGAATGTGATCCCTCTTTCTCTGATAACTGAGATGGCTAATAAGTAACTAATGGGCAGGTAGTATATACAATGTGAACATGCTGGACTCAGGGATGGTTGACATCCCAGGGAGGACAGAGCAGGAAAGTGCAACATTTCATTATGCTACTCGAAACGTCACGCAATTTAAAACTTACGAATTATTTGCTTCTGGAATTTTCCACTTAATATTTTTGGACTGTGGTTGGCTGTGGGTAACTGAAACTGTGGAAAGCAAAACTGCAGGTCAGGGGAGAGTACCGTATAGTCAGCTTTCCCTAACTTTCTGGTAACACTCAGGAGTTTTACCTACCACATTCTCTGATCTTAACGCCTGGAACCAGCTCTCAGGTACCTCAACCACAGCCACTGAAATGTTTTACTTGACAGCACTAGTGGCCTCTTCAGGTTGACTTCCTCGGACATTCCACAGATCATGTTCTTTTTCTCAGCTCCCTGCCATCTCAGTATTAGCCTCACCCAAGATAGAACTGTCCTTTCTCTTGCGATGGAACTGTATCTTCTCAAAACACTCTCTGTGTCTGGTAGTCATTTCCATCACAAGCTAAATGGCCTTTTCCTAGCTCTATCATGTGTTTCAGCACGTTCAACCATGCCTCAGATGTCATGTCCAAGTTTGGAGATTAATGTTTACCCAGGATTCTGAAAACACTGCTCCTCGATCTTCAAGAAGTGGTTTTATTTTAAATAATGCATTCTGAAATGAGGGTCTCAAATTCATACCACACTGAAAAATATTTTTCTAGCCCCACCTGGCACTACACATAGTTGTTGCAACATTATCAACTATGTTCCCTATGCTGTACTTTATTTACATCCCCATGACTATTTTGGAACCACCAATGCATGAATTATATACCTGCCTAACCACTGTGCTGTACGCCTGAAACTAATATAAAATAATATTGAATATCCACTATAACTGAAAAAAAGTAAATAAATAATTAAAAACTTTTTTGTGACAATTGTTGAGCAGGTTGCATTTATCCTAATTTCCTTCACCTCCTTCTAGACAATCTTATTTGTAGAACTGTGTAGTAATTTTTGAACTCCGTCTCATCACACCCCACTAGACACAAATCACTAAGGACTTTTGAAAGTGCACACCCAACTCTACACCAGAGTCGTAACTAGGTTAGTCAGTCATCCAATTTGCCTGGGACGGAGGCATTTCCCAGGATGTGGGAGTTTCAGAGCGAAAATCTCAAAATGATTTGGGTTCAGTGCTAGGAGGTGTAATCCACACATAGCTCTTGATAGGGACCACACAAGGATTTTTGGTAATCAAAAAAAAAGGCACATATAGGGCTATGAGTCCACAAACTCAGATGTGGGGAAGAAAAAGAAAGAGAGAGAGAAAAGAAAGAAAGAAAGAAAGAAAGAAAGAAAGAAAGAAAGAAAGAAAGAAAGAAAGAAAGAAAGAAAGGAAGGAAGGAAGGAAGGAAGGAAGGAAGGAAGGAAGGAAGGAAGGAATGAAGGAAGGAAGGAAGGAAGACAGCCATACAATGTATTAGGGCCCTGGCAGGAAAAAGATGACACAATAAAAGGTAATTAATTGAGGAGGATTCAACAAAGAAATTACTTAAAAAGTATAGCTAAGATTAAGGGAAGTTAACCAGGAATAGTGTGGCTCCCCTGCCCCTACCCCAAGCTAACAAGAATGGAGAAGCTTCTAAAGATTTTAGACTTGAGAGGGCAAGAAGAAGGGATGGTTCCTAGAAGCCAGCCCAGAGAGTGACTCTGAGGGAGGGTCACCTGACAAGATCTGCTGCCTTCAGGAAAAGGACCCAGTCAACCTATAGGGAGGGATCCTTGGAAATCTCAATTCCTTCTGTTCCCTTCCTCTGATCTCCTGACCAGTGCCTCCGAATGGCTGGACACAACAGGAATCGGGAGGGCAAAGAAGTCTGTGGAAGCTGTCCAGCAAGGTTAGCCTCTGGAGCACAGAGCAGAGAAGAAAAAGGTGGAGAATGGATCTAAGGGACAAACAAAAATATTCACCTTACATTATTTTCTTGAACTCAAAAGTAATCTTATTGGGAGAACCTATCCCACCAATGTTATAAGAAATTCAGCCATTAATGGGACTCTGCCTCCCCACCCCACCCATGTCCACCTCACGTAAGGGCCTTTAGGGCAAACTTTAGCCTACACTGTGTTTACACTTGCTGCTGAGATGGGCCTTGTCCAAGCTTGCTAGACCATCCAAGCGTGGTAGTTCAGTGGCTTTATGCCACAGCCTTCACGGGAGTTTTACTAGAGTTGAGAACACTGAGGAATGGGATGCTACCCAAATGTGTCCACCATACAGACATCCCCACACCACAAAGTCCCGCCAGGGGACACTAGAGGGAGCAGGCCACAGCTCTATTTACCCGCAGTATGCTATTATTGTCCCTTCCCCAGGCCTGAGAATCTTCTTGCTTTGGCTTCTGCTTTTGCATATCTCCTTATAAAGACACTAACTCTTCTCCCCTTCCACTCAAAATACCCTAGCATATGATCTTTAGTGGGTTCGGCTTTTCACAATATAAGGAGAGGTCTTCTTGAGTCAGCTTCTGCCTGCAGTCCTGTAGACTACCAACTGCCAAAATATTTGCTTTCTTTTGGGAATAAGAAAAAAGAAAATCACAGAACAAACTCAGTCAGAATTCTCTTTGATTCTTCTATTGCAATGCAAATAACATGCAACTTAATTTACATACATCAAATTGAAAATTTAAGTGGTGTTGGGGTACTATAGCAGACGGGCAAATGAAGATTAATCCTAGCATGTAAGACAGAAACAAGTGTGTGTGTGTGTGTGTGTGTGTGTGTGTGTGTGTGTGTATATATATATATATATATATATATATATATATATATATATATATTCAGTGTATAAAAAGAAAGACAGCCATAGCCTAGTCACTTATTTACTCTACATATATCCTTTCCCTCTCTTCACTTTGCTTCTATGTGTCTGAGCCTCTGAGTTTGATAGAAATGGAAGGACATGGGAGGAGGAAGGTAGCCATACGATGATCTGACTTCATCTACAATTTTCAAGCAAACTTACCTTTCTGAATGAATGTTCGATTACTTTCCAGAGCTGGTAACCTCACATAATCTGCATGGGTAAGAGTCGGAGGAAGCATTAGTGTAGAGTTGTATAAATGGTCCTGGCTTGATCCTTAAGAGACCTGAGTTTGAATCATTGTTCTTTGATCTGCTAGTTCTATGATGTTCGGAAAGTCACATAACCACTCTGAGTGCCGGTTTCCTCATCTGTGAAATGAGGACATAGCAATGCCAAACCTGCAGAGCTGATGTAAGGATTAGAAGTGGTAAAATGGGGCTCCTGTTTAGTACCTAGAGACCTTAATAATGAGCCTCGTCCCCATCCGGAGGAAAAGGCATCAGCAATCCCCATCCACTGTTTTCTTGGCTGACTTTGATTTCAAACAGCACGGTGGCCTATTTCTGCAGGTATGTACAGCTTGCTTAAGAGTTTCAGCTATTATAGAGGGCAGAAAAGTGTCAGCTAATCTTGAGGGACCAGAATCCATTGAGATCAGAAACTAGGGCTAAGGTGTGCCTAGTAATACTTGTTGAGTAGCCATAGTGAATATTATTTCCTAAACTATGAAGAAGAATTGAGCGATGGAGCAGACTCTTGCTCCTGTCAACTCTGGGTAATACAAATACCAATTAAGCACATCCCTGTGGGCTTTTCAAAGTTAGTCAAGACTACATCCAATCACCAACCACTTGCCCACAAAGATTGTCTTTAGAACCTTTTCACATAGGGACACATCAAAGTCATTTCGTCACATGACTGAATTTCTCACCATGTCACTGTTAGATGCTATTAAACTGAGACCGTTTTTGGTACAACTTAGCTTGTGTTCTTTTGATTTACTCTTGTTAGAGATAACAAAGTAGCTGGCTAGCATAATTATACATTAGTGAAATTCAAATACAATAGCATTCTTTTACTTTCTAAGGCCCTGAGATGCCTTCTAGGTCCCTTTAAATGTCAGGTTCCATACTTTAGGCTTTAGGACAATATTTCATTTCATTATAAATGTAGATTATGAACTTTGAATCTGAACAAAAACTCATGAAATTGAGATAAAGGAGAATAGCAGTGGCCACAGCCAAACAGTGAAATGTATGTCTTTACTATAACGTGTGTGTATTATGTGCTGTTGCATTGGCTCCAATTCCTGGCAGCCTGATGAATAAGGGATGTCCACAGTGTCCTGTCCTCAACAGCCCTGCTCAGCTCCTGTGGACTCATGCCTGTGGCTTCCTTAGTGGAGCCAATCCATCTCATATTTGCTCTTCTTCTTTTCCTTTACTGTAACATCTTTATATCGTCTGTCACCCTGAAAACATGGTTTTAGCTTAATTGGGTTTATTATTATATTATCATTATTACATAAAGACACACACATATGCAAAAAAAATCACCCCCAACCACCAACAAAACAAAGTAACCTCCTCAGAAAACAAATAAACCAGTCCACTTGATTCTTAAAATCTTGTATTTAAAAATTAGCCTACCAGAATTTAAGTTTTCCTATTGATATTTCACAGCTCTTTAGCTTTTCATTGTAAGTTTTTTATGTAAACTCTTACTGTGGGGATCCCTAGTGTGAGATCACTTTAAACTCTAAAACTTTTACTTTCTTCTTTAAAATTCTAAAATTACTCCTTTGAAACCATTCTTTTATTTATTTATTACTCCTTTTCACCTTAAATGTCATAAAGAAGTCAAAGAAAAGAAAAAAAAACTGGTTTAAGAGTCAAGATGTTGAAAATCACTGTCAGTTGCCTAAACAGGAATACAAATAAAAAAAAATCTTATTTTACTAAAACTGTTTTTGAAACGATATTTTGTGCCTGAAAGCAAAACAGTACAGATAGATATGTTTCTGAAAATTGCAGCAAGCTTATTTGTAATTGTAAACTGTAAAATACCACACAGGCATTTTGTAATACTTATTTTTGCCCAAACTCTGCTCTCCAACATTCTATACTTATTAGAAGACCAAGGCCGATAGTGATGGATACACGAGATTCAGGTAAAGGAAGAGGACTAGAAATAGTTTGCTCACAGTGCAGTATGATTTCTAGAGATCTAAAATCTTGGACAAGGTGGATATTACCCTCCTTGTTTATACTTAGTCCATAATATAAAAGCAAATACACACTCAGATCTACACTAGCAAATGTTGCTGCTTTATCATAATTGTGTGTGTGTGTGTGTGTGTGTGTGTGTATTTTTTTTCAACATTGTGACCTTTTCATATGGAAGTCAAAACTCTCTAATGGCACTTGACTAATCTTTTTCTCTTACAGTTTTATTAGGACCTAGCCCTTCCTTACCCTCCCAAATTTTCCCATTCTTAATTTTTACTCCAAAGTTCCTATGCTGGGGGGAGTATCAAAATCAAATTAAGCATGCACCTTAAAAAACTGAGTAATAAATAGATCATTACAGTGAGCAGTTAGTAATGCTAATAGCAATCAAGTGAAAGTCTAAGAGGAAGAGTTCAAATTAAAGAGAAGAGAAAGAATTTTGAAGAGCAAAAACTGAAGACGTATATTAGATGCTTTTCCTTTTTTTCTCTTTTTAGTTGAGGATCTATTTTCCAGAATTATCATATCTAACAAAAAACATAAGACATTAGATCTTCTAGACAAGAATTTAGATGAGATGTCTCATTAAATGTAATTCCTAAAAAAGTGAGGTTATAAAGGAAAGTAATAAAGAAGATGAAGGGCCGGCCGAGTGGCGTGTTGGTTAGGAGATGGCTTGGGTTGCCAGCTCTGAGCAGCAGGGCCGGGGTTCGGATCCCACATGAGGGCCAGTGACGCTGCACCCTCTACAGCTAAGATGGTGAACAACAGCTCAACCTGGAGCTGGACTGCTGTGACTAGCCGGCGATGGCATAGGCTGCAGTGGGACTGCAGTGGGCTGCCATTAGCTACCGTGAGTGGCTAGCAGCCAGTGTGAGCTGCCATGAGCCGCCGTGAGCTGCAGTCCAATGGCCAGTGACCCATCTGCCTCACCCGGGAAGAGCGCAATGATAATACCAACATGGGCCAGTGATGCGACGTCCTCCACAACTAGACTGAAGAACAAAAGGACAGCAACTTGTCTGTTCCCCTTCCCCGATTCCCCAATGCTGTTTCCTCCCTCAATTCCCCAATAAAATCTTTTTTTTAAAAAAGATGAAAATAGAGAAAGCAAATTAAATCAGGTTAGAAAAATGTGATATATGCAGAAAGAGACACAAGAAGATTTTTCAGGAAGAAGATAGTATATTTTATTCATTATTTCAGAGTTTCAAAATGCTAAAAAATACGACTTTACACAGCTGTTTGGTTTCCTCTCCAAGAGGCCTAATTGGAAAGATATGAACATCTTCTGGTGGCCAGAGAGCCTTGCTCAATTGGCTCCATTTTTGAGGTGAGTTCAGAGTGTTTACAGAGTTCTCTGCATGTTTCTTACATTTTACCAGCTCTCAATTATGTACTTAACTAGAGAGGAGCATTCAAACACCACTAGACATAATGCCAGAGCACAGGGATTTTTTTCAACCAGAATGGTATTTTTCAACCCAGACAGAGCATTGGATTGAGTGTAAGGAGACTCGGGTTTTGTTTCTAGCTTTTCCACTAAATAGATGAATTAGTTTGAGATAGTTTGTTCATCCCTTGATTCTCATTTGTAAAATGAGTGGGGTTGAAATGGATACTTTCTAAGATTTCCTTCCAGTTCTTATTTATCTATTAGACAATCTTTTCAAGTTCTTTAACCACAAGAAAGCCAATTGCTAATCTTTAGAGAAACATTAAGAATTTATCTAAATAGTTTAGAAAATACAAAAGAAGCAAAACAACACAACAAAGTCTTTTTAGAAGCTGGAACTTTTATATAAAATTAACATATGCTGAAATCATGAGGTTTTTAAAAATGTGCTTTTTAAACTTCTCAGTAATTGCTTCTCTCCTCTCAATAATCTCAGATCTAGAGGTGCATCAATTTCCATATCCTAAATTCAGTTTCCCATAGAAGAGGGTTAAGTCACAGTCAATTCCCAGCCCAACTCGTAGTTCTCTTAATGAAAATGCAGAAAACCCATACTATATCTTTACTTTGGTATAGCAATATAAATTAAAGTTAAAAGAAGGAAAGTGTATGTTTGCAAAGGCAGTGGTGGCATGGAATAGATATTGTAAATTAACTTTATTTTCATGCCCTAGAATTTATCAGTGACACTATCATACAGCTACTCAATTGTGGAGTTGTGGTTCATGTAAATTCTTTGGGTATTATATGTCATAAAGAAGTTCAAGCAAACCCAACAGGTAGCATTATCTTCATGGATTACCACACACTGATGTGTGTCCAGATTGGAGGGCCAGAATTTTTCCACAATAGGCTTCTGGAATACTATTCAGGCTAAATTTCTTGTTGTCTAGAAAACTTGTGCAACTCAATATGGTAGCCACTAACCACATGGAGCACTTTAAATGTGACAAGTCCAAATGGAGATGTGCTGTAAGTTTAAAATACACACCAAAGGTTGAAAACAGTACCAAAAAAAAAAGTAAAATATCATTAAAATTTTATATTGATTAAATATTGAAATGATAATTTTTTATACTTAGAATATATTTGGTTAAGTAAACTATATTGAAATTAATTTCATCTGTTTATTTTTATTTATTTATTTTGGCTGTCAGAAATTTTAAAATTACATATGCGGCTCATATTTGGGGCTCAAATTATATCTCATTTGGATAGTGCTGGTTTAGACCATAAGCACCTTAAATATAGGGTCATTGTGGTCTTGATTCACATGCTATTCTTAGCACCTAATGTGAAATGGTCACTATATGTTTTGAATGCATTATTTGTGAATACCAAACAGAGCCATAGAAACAGGGTACCTACTTCCCTGAACATAGCTAGAGATCATGAAAAACCTTTGCTCTGTTATTCCTCTATTTTTGTGTTCTCAACTGACCATTTCCTTTCTGTGTTGTTTTAGCATCAATGAGGTTTACAAGAATCATTCCCTGTTTTCCAGTTTCAGATGTATTAATATATCAATGCTTCCATACTTTAAGCTCTATAGTCCCTTGAATGGTTTAAACTCGCCTTAATCCCCTTAGTCAACTAATTGCATTTTTCTTTTTATGGTGATAGGCTGAATAGATTTTTGTCAACTCAGCATCATACCTGAGCCTCTTCAAAGACAGGAACTACATTTCCCAGAACCCCCTTCCCTGTAGGGTTCCAAGTTGGAGTCTGTCAATGAGAAGCACTTGCTTAAGATTTAGAAGGCATAAGAGATCATTGTTTTCTAGAGTCAGTTACAGGAAGATGCGTGGGCAGAGGAAGGTTCAAAGCTGCTTCCAGATAAATTTCCTGAGGAACTCCTGCATTTGTGTTGCTGACTGACTGCTGATGTGGGTGGACTCACAGTGAAGCTGATGAAGTTAAAATGTCAGGGCTCCTTTCTTGCATGGACCCTTTTTAGGAATCTGGGAGTGGCTTTAGTACTTTTGTACTCATAATTTTATTTATTTGTTCTTAAAGAGAGCCCTCTAAATTGCATAAGTTCTAAGGCTCACAACACTTGGCTCTAGCCCTGAATGTTTAAGAGACTCCCAGAGATCTTGTGACTCTAGTGGCTTCAGGAGGCCTCCTGAAAACTACTAGCTTTGAGGCTGGAGTTGGAGATCTTCAGTAGAGCCTCTCTGACTTTCTCTCCCCCTGCCCTTCCAACAGTTGTGGCTCTCTAACTCCCTTCATACTAGGAACAGAGTGGCTTTTGTTTTCATGACTAAACCAGTCATTGCTTAAAAATGACTGCTGTCAACAATTAGATTATGATTCTTTTTGTGTTGTCCCACTTAATCTCAAATTTAATAAATGATATTTCTCTACACTACAAATGATAGGAAAATAATTATTTAACATCACATGAATAAAACCTTAGGGTAAGTTCCATCTTGATTAACATTGGATATTCATAATGTAGCACTTTGTCTGGCACACAGTGTGTGCTTAGTGAATATGTGCTGATGAGTTAGTGTGTGAACTAATGAGTGAGGGAAAGAATGGATGACTTTATGAGCATTTGTATCCAAGGCGCTCTCTAGTAATGATTATTAAAACAATATAGATCATGTTTGTTCTAACTAATTCTTTCAAGATTTATTTAGCACAGCATCAAGAACTCCCAGCTGCACACTGCTTTTTTTGGATGAAAATAAATAGATTCAGAGCCATTCCAGCACAAATTCTAGGAAATTCCAGGAGGCATCTGTAATTATGTTGGGTCTTCCAGAGGTTGGAGGCCACACCTGTTAGTTATGAATTATTTTCCAAGGGTGAATATATACATATATATTAAAAGGGCTTGGTTATTGGATCAGAGTTTGAAGAGTGCAAGCCGTCTCATTTTTTTCCTCTTGCAATCTAAATCTGCATAATAAATAGCAGTGATAATCATTTTGCTGGATAAGAATGTCAATGGCTAGTCCTCACCAGAATAAATCATGCTTATAATTTAATTTTAATGAAGACTATAATCTTTAAAAAGATTAAGAAACAATTTAATCATGCTTACAATTAGACCAAATTTTTTAAAGCATCCACATATATATAACATTACTGTATGCTCTATATTGAAGTCAAATTAAAATATGACTCCAACATTTAGGAGTTTATCATTTAAAAAATATTGATGAATTCCATGGAAAAGTAAAAAATTCCATATTTTGCTATTTTTTTCAAAGAATCAATTTTCCTTAGTTTTTATTTTTCATGGGTGGAGTAAGAAAGTAAAAATGTAAGATAGTTTCATAATTATCGATAATGAATGTGTTGGTACATAATTAAGATTGGAAATTTTTGGTCTTTTTGTTTATTTGCTTTCATTTAGTAAATATTTACTGTTCCAGCTTGTGCTAGGGTACTGTGCTAACCAGTGGAAGCATAATGAATTACACTTGATAGCTAGCTACCTACCTTCCTGATATGGGGCAGACCGCCACATAACACACTTCCAGGAAAAAAAATAGGTAAGTGGTTTGGGGGAAAAGGGAAGGAAAAAAGAAGCTTCTGTGGGACCAGATCCTGGAGGTACATATGATCATCTCATATACTTATCTTTGCACCTTTGGGAAACTCTCATCAAGAAGGAAACAAGATTCCAGGACCTTCAAGACCCAGCCCAAGTTAACTGTTAATAAAGAGCCATGGTAGAAATTTATACCTAGGTGTGCCTGGACCTTAGAAGCAAAGAACAACAAATAGTCCTGTGTTCCACATAGTTTTGGGGTATAAGTCGCAGTCCCTCTGGATGTGTCTAGCATAACCCAGTTGGTTCTCTAAAGGCCCTGTGGGTTCTTCCAACTGGGAATACCGTTTATTGGATAAAGTTGCTCTGTACCTGTCATCCCTGAGGCTGAGAGGGCTCAGTTGCTTAAAGCTTTCACCAGCTGGCAGAAGCAACTGGAGCAGAAGGTAGGATGTGGATTTGTTCAGCTTTTATCCCCAAGTATAGTGTTAAATACATATTAACTGCTCATTATTGCTTCTGTGAAGTGGGTGTAAACTCTGATATTTACATCAATTCTCTGAGGGTTGGACTTCAGTTTCCTCACCAGCAGCGACAGATGAAATCATCCGGCAGCTATCTTTCAGGGGTACGTTGCCAAATAGTATTAAGAATTTTTATTATTTCGGTTCTTAATTGCTATATTAGAAATCGTTTCTGGGGCTCGATAAAGGTTGAACGAATCCACGTATCTAGAAGCAAGTGTTTGGGGGAAAGACAGAAGCGCAGCACCATTTGGATGCCTTCTTTTACCTCTCTTAAAGGTCAGTTTCAGGTGTCACGAGGTTGTGAGGGCGGAGAGCCCCCTGCCCCTTCCCACGAAGGGGCCAGTAGAGCGTGCCCCTCAGAACGCTCCAGATCACAACGCAAACCTGGGACGTACCCTGGCTTTCCTTCGCTCCCCATCTCGGCGGCTGCGCTCCAGTCCCGGGCGGACGCATAGGTTGGGAAAGGGCATCGGGCGCCTTTAAATGCTAATGAGCCTCGCGGCCCCGCTCGGAAGCCAACTTTCCCCACCCTCTTCCCTCGCCCGCCCTTCCCTCCCCGGCCCGTGCGCCGCCTAGAAAAACTTGTGCGGGGCCATTTTTGGGGCAGTAAGATCCAGCGAGGAGCCCCAGAGCGAGCGCGCAGCCCGACCGCTCGAGCCGCCTCCGCCGCGAGACCCCTCCCCGGCCTGCGCCGCGAGACCCCGCAGCCTCCCCGAGAGCGAGCCCGGCCGCCGCGACCACCAGCCGCGCTAACCGCCGACCAACCGCCACCGAGCTGCCGGAGTGAGAGCAGAGGCGGCGGCATGAGCGAGGCGGGCGAGGCCACCACCACCACCAGCACCAGCAGCACCAGCACCCTCCCGCAGGCTCCGGCGGAGGCGGCCGCCGCGGCCCCCCAGGACCCCGCGCCCAAGAGCACCGCGGGCGGCGGCGCCCCCCAGGCCGCGGCCCCGGCGCCCGCCGCCCTCGTCGCGGGAAGCCCCGGTGGGGACGCGGCCCCTGCAGCCACGGGCCCCGCGGCCCCCGCCTCTTCAGTCCCCGCCGGCAGTGAAGACGCGGAGAAAAAAGTTCTCGGTGAGTAAGGCCCGCCCGGGCGGGGCGGGCAGCAGCCGGCCGCCGAGCACGTGCGGGCATCTCCCGCCTCGTTTCCTCCCGCGGCGGGGAGCTGACGGTGCGCGGTCCCCGGGGTCCCCGGAGCCCCCGAGCCGGTGGCCGCGGTCCGCGTCCAGGTGAGCGCGTGGCGCCCTGCGCTCCTCGCCGCCCGGTGCGCATCCGTCCTGGTCCTGGGCCAACAGTGGGGATCTTACCTTGGGGTCCCTTAGGCAGGCGCTGTCGCACGTTCCCGAAGGGGAGAGTGCCTCGGTCGCGATAGGAAAGGAGCGGCCCCCGGGCGAGAGGACCCACAGTAGGGGATGGATGTGGATGTTGGGGAGGGACAGACACGTGGGACGGAGACTTGGGAGTCTTCAATTAGGACCTGGGTGGAGAGAGGATTTCCTTTGAAAAGTGAGGCGCAGGAAGGAGACGGGGAGGGCAAGGTGGAAAAAGGCTTCTTGCTGGGGAGGCTCAGGTGTCTGTCCCCGACGCCCTTCCCACATGGGCACGGGAAAGGCGCCATGCTTCTGTCGGCCCTGTGCCGGGAAAGAGGTGTTGCAATCCCCTTGGGTCTTGGTCCCACGTCCTCCTCCCTCTCTGCCTGCTGCTGCGAAGAACCATTCGCTGTTTACCAGTCGCTACCCGTTTTCTTCTTCCTGGACTGTGGGAACGCACTCGGTGCAAGCAGCTGAAAAAACTTCGTAGGAAGTGTGGGTATGACGTTTGTTCAGAACATCCTTATCTTGGGGCTTGGAACTTAGGGAAGGAAATAGGCAGAGGGGACGTTCGCGTTTGGGGAGCAGAGCATTAGAAAGGGGTTGTGTTCACTCTTGGTTCTGGCACGTGTTTCGACCTCTCAACTAACGCCCTGTGTGAGGCCTTAAACAGGCTTACAAAGCAGGTGGGTGGAGAAGCAGCTTTCTTAAGGGCGTGGGCGCCCGTCATTCACTCTGTTTGAAACAGGAAAGTTACTAGATGCTTAAGAGAAATTTTCAGTATTTTGGTGGGGTGTGTTTAATCTCTGAGCCTTGCCTGACCAGATTTCTAGGAATAATGTGAAGAAAGCATATGATTTCATTGCGCCCCCCCCCCTCCCCCAGTTGAGAGGCCTGCTTTCTTGTTTTCTAGGGCTTTTTACTCAGTTACTGCCACCAACATGCTATAAGTTGTAGGTTAAGAAACAAAATAGCCTCTCATTTTGCTAGACTAAAAGTTGCGTAAGTCTAGTAGTCAGTATTGAACTGGGATCCTGTTTCCAACAAGTGTTTCTTGGAACACTTCCCGCAAAATGTCTAAGAGAGACATCCATGGCCTTATCCAAAGTGCTGGTAAGATATATCCTTTTTACCCCCTTCTATTTACATTAAGGGAATTTTGCAGTGTTTTACTTGGTTCTTGTACCCTTTTGGGTCTAAATTAACCTTCTGGATTTTAAAGCAGACATCTTTAAATTTGAAGGAAACAAAGTTAATTTTCTGAGCCACCAATTGCTCTTAAGCCTGGAGGTCTTTCATCTTTCCACTGTAGTGACAACTCTTAAAATGAAGGATAGCCTTCTACATGACATTTCAGCACTGTTTGTCTCTCTCCACTGTGTTCTGCCATCCCCTTTCCTCTGCCAAGCGAACACATGGGTGCCTAAAATGTGCCAGCACAGTGCTGACTGAAATGGAATTTGGGTTTTGGACTCTCTCATCCTCGTTTTCACGAAGGGTCTTTAACTTAAGTGTACCTACAGCCGTGGGCTAGGAAAAGGAGCTTACCTGAGCGAACAACACTTTCCCTTCTACTGGACAGTATGGAAGCCCTGTGGCCTTCTGTCCTCCCGACACCCATTGTGTATGTGAAGTGAGTTTATGGCTTTAAAGCAAGAAGTGTGTATGAATATGTTAACTCACCTTCAACCTGGCTTGAAAATCATTTTTTTTTATCTTTTCCTCTGTTAGTGTTGCCTTTCTAATCAAGGTCATTCCTTTTTGACCATGGTAGACATTAACCTATGAAAATGCGTCAAAAACTAGTTCCTATCTTTATACTTGCCTTATATTTTCCTAGGTCATTAATTAGGGGGACAGATGGAAGAAGGCACACAAAAAAATATCACTTGAGAAAGTGTGACTTAAAAGCATATGATTTATCAAATAGACCACTTCTGTGTACATTTGGATCTAAAACATAATTTGTTTCTTCTTGCCCTGCTGCTCCAATTAGAATGGCCAAAAATTGAAGATTCCAATGGTTTAATGTCTTCATTGGAGAGATTGGAATGGGAGCTAGAGATTGCTCAGGCAACGTTGGGGGGAATGTCTCTGGAGGCATAAAGAGTAGTTTGTTGTTGTTTTTTCTCTTTAAAAAGAGAACTAAACTACTTCCTTAAGCATATCAGTCTAGCAAGAGAGAACTAACCATGCCCACAACAAAACAAATCCTAATTACTGTTTTAGTCTTGAGTTTAAAAACTGAATCCTTATTGTTTATCCTTGGAAATTATAAACTTTGTATCTCATAGAGAGGCAAGTGGATTAATGTTAATTATTACTTTCATTCTCTACTAAGTTTTTTCTTTTTTTTTTTTTGTTTTTTTTTTAGGTACCCTATTGTCAGATTTCCTTTTTCATTGAGTCTTGATAATTGCTTTATGCATTTCCTGACTTAAGACGTAGACATTTATTTCCTCGAGGTACTGAATTTGGCATTCAGAATTGATTCAAAGGAGTCACCTTAAATCATATTTGATGGCTGAAATAAATATGAATCTACAAAGTACAAGTTAATATGGCCATACCATTTGTTTATATGACTTCTCTTAAATTCTGTTAAAATTTGGTGTTGTACAGAAATGGTCCTACTCATGACAGAAAGTAGAGGTGATAATCGAGTTTAAGAGGGGGATTTTAAAGAAGATGCTGAGTTTAATTCCCACCAACTGCAGAGAGTAGGGTAAACAGTGAAACAGAAGCCCAAATTCATCACTGTGGTTTGAAAAGGCCTGTTACATCATGTCTCAGGGTGGTGAGTACAGACCTGGATTGAGACAGCATCAGTTCTATTATTACTCTTGACTCCTCTGATAGGCCCCCATTTGGCAACTAGACAGGTTACTTTATGTTATGTCTTTGTACATTAGCTATTAACAAGCAACTACTATTTCATGTAATAAAGTTCACCAGTTTCAAAGTGTGAAAGTAATGTGTTAATGTCATTTGTACTTACTTTATTCATCTACATTCTTTTTCATTGTGACCCTACTTTCTCACTTATGACATTTTCTGTGTTAAAACTTTAATCTTAAAGAGCAATTGTTTTTCCTTAAACAGTATTTCTTAATTTTAACTATTGCAGAATTGTATAGACTTATGACCACTCCTTATGTGACTTTACTGAAAGGTGTAACAAGTAAGCTTTATTCTTCTGAAAAGTATTTCCTTATAATAGCTTCACTTGCTCCATTTTCTTTTTCTAATGTATTCTGGAATTAAGCTTTTAATGGTTTCCTTAGGTATGTTTAGGCTTTATATAATGGTATCAAGACCTTCGTGATATGAGCTTTATCGTTGTAGGTCAGCTACTAATTTATCTGCTTAATCCTATTTTAGCCACCAAAGTCCTTGGCACTGTCAAATGGTTCAACGTCAGAAATGGATATGGATTTATAAATCGGTATGTGTGTGTGTATATTTCTACACGTTTTTAATACGTACTAATGTGGCAACAGCAGTTAAAAATTCTTTACTGTACTTAATTAATGGCTTTTGTATAAGTTTTAAGATTTATGAGCACTGTAAATATTCTCATTTCTAAGATACTGGGCATTGAATCTTAATTAAAACACATTTCCAAAACACTGATAACTAACTTATTGTATAAAATCTAGTCGTTAAAAGAAAACAAATTGGGGGAAGGGGAATACATCAGAAATGGGAAGGGCCTTAGGATAATTGAGTCCATGTCCATAATTTCACAGATAGAGAGAAATGGAGCCTTAGGTTAAGCAGCTTTCCTAAGGTCACACAGCTAGTGAGTAATTGAGCTGGATCTGTAACCCAGGTCTTGTCCAAGTCCTGTGTAGAAACTGTAGTGTTTTCTTTAAACCATGGTAAGTTGTAACCATATAGGAATGAGAATATGAGTGTGAGCTGTTGGCGGTATTATGCTTTTACTTGATATTAATCATTCTCTTTGCTCCCCCTTCCATCCCCACACACACTTCTTAAAAAATTCCTCCAACTTCTTCCTTGTCTGTTTTGATGGGGGAGGGGGGAGTTAGGGGGGAGTGGTAGTTGGGGGACTGTTTTAGGTTTCAGTGTAAGGAGAGCCTAGTTCACAGCTGTGCCCTGTCCTTTTAACTGTCTTGCTTTGCTTTCGCTGGGAGGGAAATCTGGGGCTCTGATTACATACCACGTGATTTCGAAAGAGATGAGAGGAAAGGGATGTTTCTGTGTGTTGAATCTGTACACTTGGATCTAAGCACTGTGGAAATGAGGAGTAAGGTGGGTATCGGGGTTTAGAAGTTTTTAACGGGGATTGATTTTGGGCATCTGAATTGAATTTTGAGGCTAAACAAAAATTTATGTTGTGTTTTGAAGTCTCAGGACCTAAAATTGTAAAACATTTGTTCTTTTTAAGTGTTTTTCCCATACCTGGTATCTTTTAATTGTGAGCTTTTTGTCTTCCAACAGAAATGACACCAAAGAAGATGTATTTGTACATCAGGTAAGACGTGTAATCAGTGTTACATTTTATATGTGAAGAGAGAGGTGTCAGTAATGTGCTGTTGTCCCATTCCCAGATGTAGTTCTGTACATCATTATTCTACTCTAAACTCTTTCTGTGATTTTATTTTGGCAAGAGAGCTCAATTCCACATTTTAAGATTGGCAGATAAGTTTTTCTGTCCCATCATGTGAACTGTTTTATTTTTTAATGGAATGAAGTAATATTCAGTTAGACCACTTGTTAATTTTTAAAGCCTTTGAGTCCTTAGCAGAACCCCTCTTGTGTCCATGTTGGTGTCCTGTTCTGATTGTGTGGCTCCCCTTAGTCTTCGGCTGGAACCTGCCTGGCTTTCGCCTGGGTGGGTGTTGGTTCAAGCTCCCTGGTTAGAGCGGCTCTGACTTAGAGAGCACAGTGAAGCAGAGGGTTAGGGTGTGTGTATGCACACAGGAGGAGACTCAATGCCCTGGACAGTCCTTACTCCTGTTAAAGGTAGGCGTGGCTACCACGTGGCCTGGTCAAAAAGCCTGCAGATTCGAATCCCTGAGATTCGAAGCCAGTGTAGAAAAGGGCTGAGATGTGGAAAACATGGGTTTCTTTCTCTCCTGCAGCTGTCTCACTCTTTCCTTACATTTCTAGCCTAGGCCAGTGTTATTTGTGCTATTCGCTTGCACCCTGGACTTGCTTTACCGAATAGGCTAAAAGAAAAGACACCTACCCTTACTGTTCTTTTTGTATATTCAGTTTTCAAGGAATGGTCTCAGATATGTGTGTAGTTCTTAGTGCGTAACCACAGGGAAGCATGGAGGCAGGTCTAGTACCAGCACGTGGACCTGCAGGGCTCCGCCAAGCATCTAGTTTTCAGTGTTTTTTTTTTCCTTCTGTTTACGGTTGTGTGTGTATTGGGATGGGGTGTGGTGACTGGAGATAAGTGATATCTCAGAATAAGCTCTCTAGTTGTGGTTTCTGTCGTTTATATTTCTGCTTGACTGGATAGATTTCAGTTGGACCTAGATACTTTGAATAGATTTTTGTTGTTGTTTGTTTACATACTTTTAAAAGTCATAACAGACTGAAAGGAGTGTTGCTTATAATACCAAGAGGTTACTAGAGCTTTTGGGGTCTTAACTGTGCGTTGGGTGACTGCTGGAGTAAAAGGACCTCCTCACATGTTTCTGTGCTGCTGGCCAGCTTTGTTCGCCTGTGAGTGTGTGACCTGATTCCAGCCCCTGTGAGGCTGTGCTGTGTGGTGAGTCACCTCGCTGTGCTGAGGCCTGCCCAGTTTAACAGGAAAAAGGGAACAAGCAGGCAGGGAGGGGCTGGCTTTGGAATGGCTGAATGCTCCAACTGCGTGCGCATGTATCCTGTCCTGAACTGCCTTTTTCCTCTGTGGGTGAAGTCTCGGCCCTATTGGCTCATTCTTTTCTTTTTTTTTTTCCCCTCCCTCCTACTCAGAGTAAGGGAAGGGCTGGATTACACATGCCTAATCGCTTTATAAAATAAGGTTGACCTAGTTCCATAGAAACTCAGAGCCCCTTTAACTATTTAGAGATACCAGCTAAAG